TTCGGATTGCCTCGTGTGTGCATTTGCCTGTTGACGTTTCTGCTCCAGAGTCGTGGACGTCGAACAGGCTGTCTATGGTTCACTGGTAGCACAGTCGGAGTCGCAAGATGATCAGTTGATATGACCAATCGGTGATTCTCATCCTGAATACTTTTAGTTATCTCCTTTGTAATATTCGTATTTTCATTGGCTAAATCGTGTCTAGGAAGCCTTTGATTGGTTCCCTGGTGTCCAATCATGAGCGGTCTGTTGTTATTAGACGTTGTCCGCCAATCAGTTCTCGTTATTTGCCCGACATTTCTGGTATTTATCAGTCTATGATTGTTTGAATTTATAAATCCATTGCGAGCGGGTCTGGCCTGATTGAAACCGCTTCTTCCTCGACGTTCCCAGGAATTCCGAACCGGAACTGTTCTTCGGTATATAGCTACAACGAGACAAACAAATAAGACAGATGAATTATCGAAAAAAGTCTCAAGAAAAAGGTGTTATTATAGTTTCCATAGTTTTAAATAGAGTAGCCTATCGCGGTCATTTATTGCTTCTATTTGCGTCATTCAAATTTTTTGGCTGATGTCTGTAATAAAATATGCAAAGCCATTTATGACGTCGCAAAACCTGCTAATAATATTTAAAAAACCACAGGCGTCTGACTGAAAATTTGAATGGTGCAAATGGAGTCTATCAATGTCCCTGATACATATATCAGAAAGCTTCTTTACAATTCCTTTGTATAACTTTCTCGTCACATTCACAGATATTGGTTATCTTCTGCTTTTTTATTTCCATTTATTAAATTCAATGAACTTACGATTTGTAATAATAATGGTATAGTCATCAGTTGATCGAGTTAGACATGTAGATTGTAGAGAGAACTGTAGCAGTACAATCAACAGAAACTTCATGTCTGGAAAAATAAATCATTCATCCCTGAGAAACGAAACTATCGTGGGCTATATACTCGCATGTTGATTAAGGTGAGCATCATATTTTTCATGCCCAACTTACTAGCAGATTGCTTTGTTTATTGCTATCAGAATGGGTCGGCAATGATAGATTTTGCCGAAAATATCATGTCTTTTTTATGTCTTGTTGTTTAATGGTTATAGCATCATACGAAAATATCGTATAGCTAGCAGATTTCTTGCCACAATATCAGTTTTTTTTATATCAGAATGGGTTGGCACAATAACTTTTTTCTAAGGTCAAAAAGTAAGTTTTTTGTGTACTGAACGACAGGATAAGATATTTCGAAGCTACATTCAAAATTTAAGATTCAGAAAGTACAGTAGCTTATTCGTGCTGAAAGTTACAATATATAACCAAAATGTAATTGAAATATGGATGATGATAGCAACAGAGACCTGTACTTGGCACAACAATGTTGATTTTCTGGATCAGAATGGCGGCAGATCAAGACAACGAAATGTTTGATTTATGGCAGTCTTCGCCTTCCATAGATTTTGCTTAAATCAACTTGGCATGGAAAGAGGTTGTAACAATACAAATTGGTTTGCTTTGTGGTTGTATACGAACCTTATACTTCGTACGAGGCGAAAACATATGGTCCGTTGCTACAAAAAGAATTAAAGGTTTGTTAGGCCTTTCTAATATTAAAAGGAACACTGGCCTACATCACAATCTTGAAGAGAACACACATTTTACTGATGACATTTTTCTTGCTGCACCTTGTATAAGGTGTTGCCAGTTATCATTAGTCCAATATGGTACAAAACAGCGCCTTAAAAACGTAAAACATCCACCCATTTCATTTCATATACAGCCCTATAAGAAGAAAGGTGGCCCTTAATTCTTACCTGATGTGAAGACAAGACTTTCTGGATTTCTGAGATTTAAAAAAATCAAAGTTATTAATTTTCAATATCACAATCTTTTCAGATAATCCTTGAATATATTATCACGTGACTAATCAATCAATATATCAGGTAATTAAAATTTGACATTTCCCTCGCCTTGTAACCCAAATTTAACACAAGTTTAATTGATTTAATTAAGTTTAAGGTCACGATCGGACCAAACAAGGTCAAGTTGGGACCAAACCTTAAGGATGCGTTAATGAAAAGGAGTTGGACATCCTACGCTTCTGAATGAGTTCTACGTTCTAGGTCAAGCTCGAACTAAAACTGTAGGATGAAGAAAACAAACGTGGAAACGAAGATCTTCAATTGAAGTAATGAATTTTAAGACACGATGTAAAACATGTAGGGTGTGTGGCAGCAACAGCCTCCCGGCGGGTACATATTGGGACATAGAAGGGGAGGGGGGGGGGGGGGGGGTGAGCGTCTGAGAGGGTACTCCCTCGATAAAATTTTGAAATTGGTATTGTTTTGATTATTCCGACACATGTTTGGAGGCTTAACGTATAAAAATCATATTCTTCATATATTATAAAATGTAGTGGGGATACAATTGGGGCTACAAACCATTTTCCTAGTGGGGTAAATGCCCCCTCTCTCTCCATCCCCACTGGGTGAGTGGCATCAGGTGTTCGGCTCACTCTCAATCCCTGTCTTTCTTTTTTAAATAAAGACCTCCAATTCCCGCTGAACAAGGTATTGAGCCACATGTAATGGTGTTGTATCTATCAGGCTGTTCAGGTGTTAGCTAATCATCCAATTGATTAATTATATTATTGTCATAGAAACATGTTTAAAATGATAATAATAAGCTTCCATTGTTAATTATCATTCTTCACTACATCGTGACATTCCTTGTTACTATAGAAACACATTCAAAATAATAGAAATCTATAATTTCAACGGAATATCGGATGCGTTCGATGAAATGAATATGAGTTTTTACATGTTCCAGGATATTATTTGTGTGTATTTGCATTAAGTTTGTTTGGGAAAGACAGACCAGGTTGTGAATAGGCTATCATTCGTAAGAAAGGACGAGCCGAGAGTATCATCGTCGAAACGTTGTAGTTCAGAAGTGTTTTATTTCTCTAAAAAATTAGTCCACTGTCTTATGTTGTGGAATCTAAGACAATACGTTAAGAATGAGCGACTGGAACGGTAAGATACATCTATTCTATGGGGATTGGGGGATTGTACAGAGGTTTTCTAAACTTTTACTGTCTTTCAGGGACACTGGTAGCATCGATTTTCATCACATAAGGTCAAAGATTTCTATTAGAATAAGAACCACATCATACGAATTGGAAGGGTGCACCTAATAGCATACACACACAACTAGAAAACCCTTACAATCCTTTTCAGGAACACACATTTTTCAGTTTTACTATCGACTGTTTTCCAGACGTCAGAAAAGTCATTGCTGTAGCTGAAATAGCCGAATCTACATATTCTTTTGGCTAGTAAATTTCAAAATCGACTGGGATCATCAATAGGCCTACTTATTATGTTTTAAAAGATATCGTATCTCAATATATCCAGACAAAATGACAATGTCAATTAAGGAGCGCAATGTAAAGGGAATAGCTCCTAACATTTGGACTAACTAACTGTTAAAAAGGCCAATCAAAAAGCAAACTCTTAGGGGAGATAACTCATTACAAGAAAATTTGGATATGCTCACACCTGAACGACTATCCAGCATTCTCGATATAACTAATTTCAATTCTTTTTCTTTCAGAATTATTCCGACTGTACCCAAGATTATCCAAAAAACTGAGCAATGAAGAAATTAAAGGGATCAAAAAATTTATAGAAAATCAGGTCTTCAGCTCAAGCAGCAATATATTCACCAAGTTAGTATATTTAGAAACCACCAAATGTCTCGACGACAAAAAACAAGAAGAAAATATCGAAACGTTGTCTAAGCAGATTCAAGACGAGAAATTTATTGCTAAGGAATATAAACGTGAATTTGGCAAATTGTCTGAAGTGCTACGTGGTCGTGAAACAAGATTTCAAAAACATTTAAATCGAGCCGAAGACGAGATTAACCAACTTAAAGAGGAACTTGACGCCAAGAAAGTGTTGCTTGAAGAGTTAGAATTGAAATACAGCGATCAGATGGAAATTAATGACAGATTTCAGGAAAAGATAATCGAGTTGGAAACAATGTGTCTGAAATTAGTCAAAGAAAAAGACGAATCTTTGGAAATAAGTCGTCTGTCAGGCGAGATGTTAAAAATGAAATACACTATTAATAATAAGGACAAGGAAATCAAGTACCTTCGCAATAATTTTCTGCCGGCTTCAAAAATTGCATCGTGTAACGGAAAAAACTGTTTCTTTGCTAAATATTTCAATGATTGCAAGCAACAGCTTATTTCCAAATGTGAGGAGACGGCCATTTTGAATTTTCAAATTGATGATCTTAAAAGACAACTGAAAGAAAAGACAGCAGTGATAGGATCTTTAAAGGTTGCTAAAAAGACCTAGATGGGGAAGTTTAGAATTCAGATTGGAATAAGTTTTGAATTTTTCTCTGCAAGTTGCTTCTCTAAATGCAGACCTGACCTTCTTCTACGTGAACCCATGTTCAAAACTATTTATTGACCTTTGACATGATAATCTACTTGTATTCTAACCAATCAAAATCCTTGCTACAAATTGACGCATGGAATAGTGGTTTGTGTTAATGGATTGGACAAAATGTCAATTAGCAAATGTCAGTAATAGACTTAGAATTTGCACTCAAAAGCCCTCGCCAAGGCATCAGAAATGTTTCAAAGCCTAGCCATATATCTACTCATTGAGCTATTCCTCATGTGATAAATGAAAATCATAATATGACTTAATCTATCGGTATCTTGATTGGGATGGTCACTGACTGCGTTCTTCAGTTATATCAGTACACTTTATCTGTGATACCGTATAATTGCGAATATAGCGCGCGCCCAATATAATGCGCATGCCGTATTAAGGGAAAATCAACAAGTTGGTCTAACTGGTTAAATTTGAAACTGGAAGATCAGTGACACATAAAGATACAAGATAGATAAATGGAGTTTTCATTTCATTTATTGAAAGACATAGGTAATAACAGTTTCAAAAACATAATATCCATCAGGATTTTGATTGGAGTGGCTTTTGTCTCAGTTCTTGGGCACCATGAGCATATTTACAGTTCACTGCTAACTGTGGACACCCATCAGGGTGATGTTCATTAAACCAACACAGAGTAGTTTTAATAAAATCTTCTGAATTTGTCTTAGATACTTTCTTCTTTTTTGAATTTTTCTTTCCGAACAGATCATCTGATGAGAGATCTCTTAACCTTACTATTCCTCCAGTTACTGAAATATTAAAAAAATATTTAACATCAAAATAACTTGCTACATGAAAAGAATTGGAGTTCAAGTGTATGCGAAAAAGAGAGCTTGCTATGGCATCTGCCAATATTCAATAAAGAGACCAAAATGACATTATTGGCTGCATGAAAGAAATCAGAAAATATTGTTGCGACAATAATGGCAATATCTAAAAATACTTTGAATATAATACTGATATTGTGATATTAAAAGATCGGTATAATGCGGGGTACAGTCTTCCATATTAGCACCTTCAATCATCAGAAATCAATTACAAAAATGGCAGATATTGACAAATTTTTCTTGTCACTGTCTGTAATGCACCCAAAGTTCTCTTTAAGATAAAAATTGCATAATGTGCACACAAATATACTATGTTTTATTCTTGAAGTGGCTCAACTAGATGAGCTGGGGCCAATGTACTTAAGTGTGTTGGGGCTCCCCCTGTGCTCTCCTGCATTTTGAGACCCCTCAGTAAGTCAACTTAATGGAAGATTTTCAGTCAATTTAATGTTATTTCACTCATTTATGCTGGTTGCTTAGTTATAATTGTATACCTTGGTACATTTTCTTTTTTTTCTGATGGTTGGGGCCCCATAGACTTGGTTCAACCAGTCCCTATGGTAGTTGGGCCACTGTTTCTGTGGGTTATTCCCATTGCCATCCTTGACAAACAACAGAAAGACATGAACCAAAACATCTAGATCAGTTTTACCAAGAATGTTCAATCAAATGAATCTTTGTCAAGAGAAATAAACCCACCTTGGAATATATGATTATGATTACGTAATAAAGTCTGTAGACCACCACATTCACATTTTAACTTCTGTAGTGTTTCACTTGTAAATAATTCAGCTACATTACTTAAGGGTAATGTCCCTTGAATAGAAAATAACAGAAAGGTTTAACTTTGAATAACTGACAATAAATTAATGCACTGTTTTTAAATTAAGAACCCAATTCAATTGGAAGGGCTTAAATAGAAATATCTTGACATGTTTAACACAATAATATTCAAAATTCAATCTCTTCTGTCTGAACCTTTTTGTATACCAGTCAATCAAACTATAGTGGAATATTTTACCAATACAATTTCTTCTTTAATTTTGAATATTAGAAAACTATATTAAATAATATCCTTTATTTTGGAAAAACTTTGAACCTTTGAACCTGATATAATGCCACATACCTCCTTTATTCCAACTTGTACCATGTTCAGTCTGGATAACCATACTATCTGTAGACTCTATTAAACATTGAAATACTGTTTTCACTATCATAGTTTTAATATCACTAGGCACACTCTGGCAGTTCCTTGGTATTTCTTTAGCTGAACGAGGCTGGAACGATTGAGCCCAAGGTGTTGCACCATTTTCACATGACTGTTCATCCAGCCTTATTTTCTTACTGTCACTTTCTGTTGGAGACTGGGCATTTGAATCTATTCCAGTACTGCCTTCTATAGAGTTTTTGTCTGTTGCTATGATACATCTATTGTTGATATATTCCATTCTTTTTGTATCTACCACACTTTCCTCGCTCTCTTTGTAATTTCTGGATCTTCCAACAAAACATACCTAAATAATATTAAAGTAGAGAAGTTACGAACTAAGTTCAAACTTGCGCTGCAGGCTATGAATGATAAAGAGTTTATCAAATTAAAGCCACTGTCAAGACAAATTTTCCTAACCTTCATACTGCAGGCAAAACAGGCATAAAATCCATTTCATTTCATTTAATTAACTTGAAAATTGATTAGAATAGCAAGATGTCAAAATTAATTTTATTTCATTGAAAATTGACAAGATGTTTACAGTAAATCCACGAGTCTTACCCGTTTAGTAGAAGGAATTCTGAGAGTATCCTCCTCTACATTAAATCCACAGACCTCACCAACTTGTTGAACAAAGTTTAAATAAGTCTGATATTGACTGGTGCCAGTGTCTCTCTGGTTGAATTTACAATTAAAATCAAAATGGCAGCAAGGTAGAACAAAATATTTACACTTATAAGATGATCTGAAATTAAAATGATTAATATTTTGATAAAATTCATTAAATAACTTAACAAAATAAGGAATAGGATAGGTAGTATAGGTTCTCAAGGTCCCAATCTACCATCTGATCCATGGCCAAACGTCTTAAGTATTGATTGCGACTGGATTATCTATACCCATTTAAAGATGGGTCTAACAGTACAGGGATATCAAGGATAAAGGACACTTATTCAATCAATAAATTTAGGGCTTTCCAAACCTTGACCTAGGCAAATGTTTCTTTGCATTTACATAAAAATAGAAATTTATTTTTTACCTTGCAGCCATGACAGGTATCCATGGTGTTAATTCATCACTATGGTTACCAATCAACCAATCATATTCTGGGAATAAAGTATCACTTGATGGAGTGATGGATTCAATCTAAAAATACAAACCAATCGATAAACACAAATGATTGGAAATGTATGAATTAATCAATGGAAAAGAGTAAGCATCTTGCTGATATAGGTGTATCATCACTTCTGAGTCCTTGTGTAATTGATCAGAGCTCATAATATTCTACCAATATGAGTTTCAGACACAAATTCCATATGAAGCAGCTATTTGTGCAAATTTTGGCCAAATTGTTGACTCAAGGGATATGACTCAAGTAAGCAAACTAACTGAACAGGAATACCACAGTGTGCACCAAATATCTAATATCAACATAAAATCATAACTTACTTTCAGATTTACACCAGAGCCATACCAGTCCCATATTTGTCTTTTTCTTAAATCTAATCCTACTCCTTTATGCTGTATGAAAAATATGAAACCATCATTTTAGAAAACAAGTAAACTATTATAGTTTGTTAAGTATTTGCTTCACAGACTCCTTATTGTTTCTAGAATAAAAATTTGATGTCTAGTCCCCTACAATTCAAGAAAAATTTAAAGTTGAAAATCAGGCCTTCATTGTTATCAACTCATAGTCAGATATCACCAATGTATTTATGACTGAACAGTGCTCATGTTAATAGCGTCCTCAATTATATATCTAAATATCTGTATGGTTTATGAGAAAGATAGGAAAAAGAAGTTTGATATAGCGAACTTACCCCTTCTGCAGTTAGAATATAGACTAACAGACCATTTCCACATCCCAGATCCACAAATGACTGTTTCTTTATTTCACCAGATTCATCACAGTCAGATCTCCATAATAACTAAAATATAACATCATTGGACATGAAATAATATAAGCAGAAACCTTAAATATGATACCACTACTGCATTGGAACCATGTGGGCACGGGGACATAGAATATCTGGTTATGTCTTGCTGGATTCATTAATAGTTCAGCTTTATATAGATACCAAAAGCTTTTGTCATTGTGAAAATCTAAAAATGGGTGGGTCTAAATGAACTCATGAAAACAGATATTTGATGTCTGGGCCAGAACAGGATGATATCACATCCTATATCATGTCAGAGGAACTGGTTAGGGCCATGGCCCCGTTCCACAAAAAAACAAACGCTAACTTAAGTGTTGAGTTGAGAAACACCATACTTGACAAAATTGATCCTAAAATTTTTTGTAGAACGGGACCTTGTATTGTCGGGGTAGGCAACACCCGGTGCAACTTACCAATAAATATGTAGCTATAGCAATATCCTCATACACAAATTTCTGAGGGTCAGTCCTTTCTGGCCACACCTCAACTAATTTCACACCATATTTCTGCTTTAGTTCATTATAGAGCTTGTTATATTCGTCAACTGCTACTAATTTTAATGAGGTCTGACCGATGCGTAAGCTCTTCTCTTCTGCCCATCGACATAGTTTAACCAATAAAACATCAGTTAACCACAATAAAGTCACATGACCATCTTTTACTGATCCTGCCTTCTTATAAACCTCAAGAATAATTCTGAAACAATAACAAGCATTGTATATGCATCTCTTTTCCCTCAGTCATAAATGAACCAAATGTATCCGTATTCATAAATGCCAATTAGGGCAAAAATTCATCATGGATTATGGGAGGCACGAATTTATGTCTACATAAACTGATTTTTATAAGCTAAGACCTACTTCTTCTTAGATCAACTCCATGTTGATTCATGTCATTCCTCCATTTATTGAAATAATTAAATTATCAAAACTGGGGGTAATATTCATTAAGATACTGACAAATTTCAAACTTATAGTTAACGGCTAACGCTATATCTAAGATGTTACTGGTCAATGACCAAAGCAATGACAGAGATATATTTACCTATTTGTTTGAAAAGTAAAAGTAAAGACCATTTCATCTTCAATGCTTTTGTCTATTTCCTCATTTCTGTCATTAACATTAAAACAACATATTGGTTGAAACTTGACTGTCTTCTTTTCAAAATCTATAAAATAAATTTTAGAGAACCCATGAATTAGTCAAAAACAGTGTGAATACCATTCATATTTCGGACATCTTATACATTTTCTCCCCTTATCATAACTTGTCAATAATAAACTCTGTAAAATACAGATTCCGGTTCTATAATTCTAGATAATATGAACCAATAAATTTTGTCAAAAAACACACAGAAGATCAACAGTATACTTTACTGAAAATCCTTCAGTCAAATTAATTTCACTCTTATAGTTATACTATCACTGCATTATTAACCTTTTTTGTTTCTCCTGTGACAAGCTGAGTCAAAATAGGCCCTACTTTGCATTTGGCTTCTTTCTGAACTTTAATGAAAAAGGGCAGATCTAGCTAGCCAGCCAATGATATAGATTTCTTACCAAAACAAACAAGTTCTCTTAAAGTTGGATACTTATCAAGTTGCTTAGGAATAAGGTCTCTGATCAGAACATAAACTTTGTCGTGTTGATTTAAATTAACTGTAGTCTTTAGTGGAGTTGTTTCCCTTTGATCACAATGTTTTTCAACAAGTTCATGACATTTCTCCGCAACGCATTCAGTATTTTGAATGGATTCCTCACAAATTAATACTGAACCAACTAATCTTCTATTTACAACATGTGGTTTATTGATGTAAACTGAAAGTGCATCAAAAAAACCAGAAAATGTCCCACGAGTATCCTTCTCAATTTGGCATATTCGCTGAAAATCATTAGATTTAACATTATTTTTGTTTATTTTCATATCCATAATTGCTGATTCTATCTAATCAATTGGATTTGTACCATAACTTCCCAAATTCTTCAAACGTTTGACTGAAATATTTTAAAATATTGCACAAATCTGTGTTTGTTTACATTTTAATGGGGGCTGACATCTTGGCAAATGGATTGTGGGATTAAAGGTTTTGCCTAAAAGATAAATTTCGACTACTAACAAAAATATTATTTTCACTGAAATAACAGCGATCTGTTACAAATATGTAGTTCAATTACATAAAATATAATTAGATAGGCCTAATACTTTCTATAAGACCAAACATCTTATTTGCAATCGATTACTGCTGCAAATGCTGGTAATCCAAATCAACATTTTATGCTATACCAATTGACTGCACCTGCAGAACAAGTTTCGTCCGTAAGGGACGTATAAGTGGGTATAAAAGGGTCTTAATGCAATTGACACTTGCAGCAAGTGTATTGAAGACGTTGCAGATAACCTTGCGTCTAGGAATAGACATAAATCTACACTTTTACTATATTTCTAATGCGAATGAATGGATACGATCATGGCCAGTTTTTCTCTGTGAATGACTGATTCACTGATTGCTGAATACAGACTGAGTGAGGTGAAATACAAGGAAGGGCTTACAGTGCTCCCCCTTTACAAGTTCCTCCCATAAGAAATGAAATGAAATTAATGGAGTTTTACGTCCTACTTTTCTGCACCATGTGGGCTAATGAAGACGGGCAATGCCATGCAGTGTTCAATGAGGGAAATTTTGCCAGGACAGCGGCATTAGCCTGCTCTTTTTCGATTTCCAACTGTCGAGGGATCTTTAACGTGCAGAGCACAGCTCCTCTTACCTGCATGACTGACGGGGAAATCGAGGTATTATCTCGACCTATACTGTGATTGAACCCTATCTCAAAATATAGCATTCAATTAAAGAATATAGAAAATAAGCATACCCTTAACTCTTATCATGTATTTGATCTTTTAAATATACATGTATATATGGCCCAAACATAGGTCGAGATAATACCTTCAGATTTTCAACACTTTTCCCCCATCCCCCACAATTTGCAAAATGTCAGTCTTACCAATGTCAATATGAATAATATCACTTATTTTTTAGGAAATTATCTGTTGGATATGATATGATATTACAATGTGTTTCCCAGCGTGCTGTTGTTTGGTAGAGCTGTTACCCTACTTACTCCTGGCCACCTCCCCTTTCTATGGTTCATTTTGTGGGCTTGATATCATACTAAGATTATCAATATTACTATTGCTACACTCTGTTATTATCAACTTTATACCAAAACAATGGGTCAGTATTGTTCATTTGTTTATTTATTGGTTGTTCATGTACTTTAATAAATAACTACATGCATGTGAAAATAGATTTCAAATATTTTAATCATTATGTGGAAAAGTAAGGCATAGAAAATTAGGCTAAATAGGTTGGAATTGGTTATAAGTGTTTCACTCTTTATCGAAACATGTACTCTTAGTTAGCAGGAATTGTACAAAAAATGAATTATTTTATTAAATTCTGTTATAATGCAAGATCTCTTACATGGCTTATTTTGTTTTCAGATTTTCTTATCCCTTAATTAAGATAGTACCCTTTTTTATATTTCAAAAACCTGCATCTTTTTATATCCATTCAGAATTAAATTTCATCTACTGACCTTTCTCATTTTAAATTTCAGAGATCTATACTACCTTACACTCAGATATTACTACTAGTGATATTGGTCTATTTGCCAGTTAATATCACTCCAGTATTTATACTCTGGTTCTATAGAATACTATTACTACTTACTGAGCCAGTATTAAAACTATTAGAGGTTGTTTTAGTCCAGAATTATGTGATGAGATGTAGTCAGAGAATTATTGATGAGTGGGATAGCGATGATCCTAAAACTAGGGTAAGTATAACAGGTTACTGTACTTAGTAAAAGCTGGATTTTTATCTAGGTTAAGTTTTCAAGAATAAGGTTCCTGGAGGTGATCGATTTAACTTGTGAGAAGTGCAATGATTTTTCAGTTGTATTCTTCCAAACTCGTCTTAAATAATCCAGATTTTTTAATTCAAGTCATCTGATTGGATAATATTATTAAATTTAAAATCGGTTTTAGTGATTCACCAATCAGATTACTGGAACACAAAAATCATCTGCAGTAAAGTTTTCATGAATAAAACCCTTGTGTTTGTCAGTGAAGGTCATGGTATTTGATTTTGCTGAATTTGAAAATGGGAGCAGGCAACAACTTATATCGAAATGATAATCTAATTAAAAGAATAGCCATTGTCTGGGAAACTTTTATTAGTGTGCTATATTTCAGGGTATATTGATACTGTTTTCTTCATTATGTTATGGTATTTCCTCTACCTTAGCTTGGTCTATTTATAGCGAGGGTTCTACTATACAAATATGGTAAGTGCTCACAACATGAACCTCAAAATGTCCACTGTGAAAGTTCTTGCTCTGCAACATATAATATTTAAAGGGATCGTAAAGAGGATTTCTAAATTTTTTATGTGTATCGGGGACACTGATAGCATCAATTTGTACCACTCGATTTTCGGTCAGACATCTGTGGTTCTTTAAAGGCAGCCATAGTTTTATTGGTCCTATGTCCAGATTGTCATGTAGTCTGACCTTGTTCATGATTCTGGTAGTTCAGACATCATAGGCAGGACTACAAGCATTTGTTAACAATGCTTATAAAAATACAAAATAAATCTTAAAATATGGATTGATAATGATTATAAAATGCATCATTGGTGAACATTTAGTCACAATATAGCATGGAAACATCCTGAAGTTATCTGGTGTTGAATAAATGGTCTTGGTTATATTGTATTTGTAGGTGTTTATTAATTGTTGTGATTGTTTTTGTTATGGTTCATAATATGATGGTTATAGCACCAGAAGGTAACAAAATATTCAATATTTATTGTAGTTTGATCATAATAAGGACAAGCTTGTCCCTAGGGCCATATTACCTTTAAGCTCAAATTCAAAAACTTCATGAATTAGAACTGCAATATGATAAGTACAGTGACAAGTTTTGCTCTCTTATCGGTAACAAATGTGTGATTGGGATTGTCATCTCAGTATTTCATTCAGAGAGTCTACATAGAAAATGATGTTAATTAGGTAATTGCAATATCAAGGCAAAAAAATTTATTTATAAAATCTTTAAGTTGAAGTTGAAACGTGCCATTAAACTTTGTAAATAAATCTGCAGCTCTATATTTACAGGTATATTAAGTGATGCAGCTTTCTGTAGTTTGTGTAGTGTAGCAGTTTTATATGCCATGCAGCAAGAATCTACATTCATTAAACAACCAACTCAACCTCCACGATCATGGACCAGGTACACGTAAAATGTATTGAAACTAAGAGTCACTATGACGTCGGTATGATAAGTGCTTTTAGATTTACAGCACTACTCCACTATGCTCCGCACTACTGTAAATTTATTGAGCACTATTACTACTACCCAGGGGGCGAGAACCTCTTTGATAGTGAATTGCAAGAACCAGAAACTAAAAATAGGAAAGTGCAAATTGATGCTTTCCGTATCCCGATACACATGAATTGAAACCTTTTTCACATGCTGATGTGTTTTGAAAGTTGACCAAGTGCTCATTTTTCAATTCCATCTTAATGAAGCTTTTAATTGTTGAACATTTTGATGAACATAACTGAAATTTACA